TCATGATCTCACGGTTCGTGGGTTCAAGCCCCGCGTCGGGCTCTGTGCTGACAGCTCGGGGCCTGGAGCCGCTTCGGATTCTGTGTCTCCCTCTCTCTCTGCCCCTCCCCTGCTCATGCTCTGTCTCTGTCTCTCAAAAATAAATAAACGTTAAGAAAATCGTAAAAAAGAAAAAGAATGAAGACAAAAGGGACTGTCATTACTAACAGAATTGGCAGAGATAGATTTCCTTTTTTATATGATGCCAGGGATGTAGGTAAAAGAAAGATAGCCTTAGGGGTTAGCAGTTTGAGTTTTCAAATTACCAGTGATGACAAGAGTGTATTCATATATTTCTTAGCCATTGGTAATTCTTCGTTTGAGAACTGCCTACTCACATTCCTTTTTAATGTTTATTTATTTATGAGAGAGAGTGCAAATGGGGGAGGGGCAAAGAGAGAGAGGGGGACAGAGGATCCAAACCGGGGTCTGCCCTGACAGCAGCAAGCCCTATGTGGGGCTTGAACTCATGAACAGTGAGATCATGACCTGAGCCGAAGTCGGACGCTCAGAAGACTGAGCCACCCGGGGGCCCTGACCAATCACATTCTTTACCCATTTTTAGCTTGAGTTGTTTCTCTGCATTGTTTTTTCCTGATTTCTATGTATGAAGGCAAAACTTTTTTTTTTTCAAAAAGGACACAGGCACAAAGGAAATCTACAGACCAATTTCAATTTTAATTAATGCCACTTTTCAGTAAACTACTAACAAAACAGAAGCCCGGAACACGTTAGAGGAGAAAGTACACGGTGCTCAAGTCTGGTCCATTCCAAGACGTCAAGGACGGTTCCAGGTTGGGTAAATTATTATTTAATGAATTATTAATTAGCCAAAGTTTACGAACGGCATAACTCATTCAGATTTGGTTAAAAGTATTAGGTAAAATTCAGTATCCATCCCTCAACTAAATACACACACACGCACACATGTGTGCGCTTACACACTCCTAACCATACAAAGCCAAATAGGTACTTTCTTCACCAAAGGCTGGGTGAAGCACAGGAAAATTGCAGCTAAAATCATGAATGTAGGAGCACCTGGGTGGCTCAGTCGGTTGAGCGTCAGACTCTTGATTTCAGCTCAAGTCGTGATCTCACGGTTCGTGGGATTGAGCCCCGCCGAAGTCGGGCTCGGCACTGACGATGCAGAACTTGTTTGGGATTCTCTCACTCTCTGCCCCTCCCCACCCCCCAATTTTTTTTTTTGAAAACGTATAAAAAGGTAGTGAATCCCTACTATCTATTCAAACATGGTACTAGAGCCTAGGGAGATTCTAACAGGGAATTTGCAATTTTTTTTTCGAGGAGATCCAAAACACATAAATAAATTATAAAAGGGCAAAGGATAAATTTAAGAAGAGGCAGTTTTATGCAAATTCAAGGGCAGAAAAGATGAACAAGAGGGTCTTTTTAGAGGAGGTGGCATTTGAGCTGGGACTGGAAAGAGTGGGTAAGATTGGATTACAGGGAAGGGGAATGGAAGGCATACCTAGAGGTAGGATGTTTGACAGGGTTCGAGAAAAGTAGCTTGGAAACGGCTTTTGGTAGAGTAGGTTTGGGATGATGTCATGGGGTCTGAAACGAATGACTGTGTAGGTAATGGTGAAGCGCAGATGGTTTCCATGCAGGGAAATGACCAGACTGGAACTCCTCGGACTCCCCCAGACTAGAATTTTCGGAGCTCCAGTGTGATATGGAAGATGCTCCGAAGCCGACAGGTGATGGTGGTTGAGGGTGTTGTGTCTCTGGATGGGAGATGGCGAGGAACTAGCTGTGGCAGGGCAAATAGCAGGAATGGGAAAAGCAGGTGCCAGGGACGTCATAGAGACAGGAAGACCCTGACCCAGACTTCAGGGTAAGTAGTCTATCCTGGGATTCTCTTTAAAAGTCAACGTTTCTTTTCGACAACTTTGGAATATCCAGCTAGCCTGCATATTCATCTAAAGCGAAAGTCGCTAAGAAACGGAAAAAGAACACTAAATCAAATGATGAGAGAGGAGTACATATTTTTGCCCGTGCCCATGTCCCTGAAAGGCAGACTTATCTCAGATGCATCAGGCTTAAGGCTCAGGTCAAATGGCCCCCATCTCAATGGCCTTTATCATGATCCCTGTGAAATTTTGTCACCACGCAGATCAGCACTGACCGTTCAATTCTAGTTGTCCAACGGGTGTTGAGAGTCTCTTAGATGCCAGGAGCTATGCTGGGCACTAGATTGGTGCCCTCAACACAGCTCAGAGCCTCGTAGGGAAAATAAAGAAGTCAACGGACACTCAAAGTGTGTGCCGATGACCAGACTCACATTGGGGTGTGTGGGAACTGAGAGCAAAGAGCGACTCACTCATCAAGGTGTGGAGAGCTTTAGTGCAGCAGGTTATTTGGAGGATGAATGAATAGAACCTTCACGCATTCATTCAACAAGCATATACTGAGCGCCTCTTATAATGTGTATTCCAGACACAGTTCTAGGCATCGGGAAAATAGCAATGAATGATACGGGCATCAGTCCTGCCCTTGTGAAAGTACATTCCGGTGAGAGGAGACAATAATGATGAAAACAAAACAGAGTTATAGTACAGTGAGGGATAGAGAGGCTACTTTAGGTTGCCCGACGTGAGCAAAGCCAAAATGGTCTCAAGAATTAGCCTATTTGCCTGTAACTGTGCATTTGGAGCCACCGTGAAGGTCCTTTTTTTTTTTGAGAAAGAGAGAACATGTGCATACGTGAACAGGGGAGGAACAGAGAGATCCCACAACCGTGAGATCATGACCTGAGCTGAAATCAAGAGTCTGATGCCCAACCAACTGAGTTACTCAGGTGCCCCATGAAGGTGGTTTCTAGGAGCCAAACATCATGACAGGCATGTTGTATTTGTTATCTCACTTGCTCTTTGCAAAGCCATTTCTAGTAGGTGACGTTACCCCTAATTTGTGGGAGAAGAAACTAGAAGTGCTCCTTCTTCTTTTTCCCCTTCTCCTTCCTCTCCTTTTCCTTCTTCTCTCCTTTTTCAACTTGTTTATTAAATATATAATCTCTACTCGCAAGGTGGGGCTCGAACTCATGACTCTGAGACCAAGAGCCACATGCTCCACCTACTGAGCCAGCCGGGTGCCCCAGATACTGGAGTGTCTTATTAGATAACTTGTCCAAGCCCAACTTGCCAACGCGTCAGTATGTTCCTTCTTACCCATGTCCCCAGTTCCCCTGACATATGCTCAAGGTACTCGCCTTGGAATCGTGTTATAAAGTGCCCAAGCCGAGGACCGGAGGTCTTGCCAGCGGACCCTGATACGTGGAGTCTTACCATTCTGCTTCCCAACATTGAGGCTGCCCCTTCTTTGCTGTTAGAATGGCAATATGGCAATAGGCCACCTTCCACGCTTTCACAGACCTAAACAAAAATATCTCAGGGAAGTTTCGAACTAAAGGAAGTCACACGAAGGGTTGGCCAAGCAGCACCTAGTACTGACCAGAAAGCGATGTGGTAACTCTAGACAGGAAATGCTACTTGATCGTGTACCCTGATAGAGCTTTCAGGAAGCACCGGCATGCAAAAACACTGCCTCTGTAGTGTGACCCTGTGAGTGTGAGAAGTTGGATGTGGGTCTGCCTTTATAATCAGTAGAGTCAAAGTGGAGTGGCTACGGGGAGAGCCGAGGCTTCCTCTGTGGGTCTGAGGGGAAAGGAGGGACTTTCTGTAGCCGTGGGACGGCTGCCGATGAGAAGAATCCGGGCCCTGACTTACCACAT